GTTTCTGCTTGTAGAATAAGAACACATCTTATATTATCAAGAAATGACGGACATTTGTGTTGTTCATTGTGTTGTTTTTGATCTTTTTTTTAATCTTTTTTTTTGTTTTGATTTTTTTTATCTTTGTGCGTTAAATATATGTTAACACGGGATTATCATGATATTAACCCAGTTTCGCCCGAACTTGTTTCTTAGTTGTTTTATCCCTCTTCTATGTGTGTGTGTGACTGATTTATTTTGTCTCAGGTCGGTAGATACCTGGTTTTCTCTGTGCCTGTTCAGCTGAAAAGAGTTTCCTCTGTCTTCCATCAGCAGGAAGAGAAGACAGACTGTGAACAAACGTCGTCATGAACTGGGCATTCCTCCAGGGCCTCCTCAGTGGAGTGAACAAATACTCCACAGTCTTCGGCCGAGTGTGGCTCTCTATCGTGTTCCTATTCAGGGTCTTGGTGTTTGTGGTGGCCGCAGAGAAGGTGTGGGGTGATGAACAGAAAGACTTCAAATGCAACACGGCTCAGCCCGGGTGCCACAACGTCTGCTACGACCACTTCTTCCCCGTGTCCCACGTGCGGCTGTGGGCCCTGCAGCTCATCTTCGTCACCTGCCCCTCTCTCCTGGTGACGATGCATGTGGCCTACAGGGACGACAGGGAGCGCAAACACCGGCTCAAGTATGGCGAGAACTGCAGAACCCTCTACCTGAACACGGGCAAGAAGCGTGGAGGCCTGTGGTGGACCTACGTTCTCACTTTGGTCTTCAAAATAGGTGTGGACACCACCTTCGTCTACCTCCTCTACCACATCTACGAGGGTTACGACTTTCCCTCGCTGATCAAATGTGAACAGAAGCCCTGCCCCAACAAGGTGGACTGCTTCATCGCTCGACCCACCGAGAAACGGATCTTCACCATCTTCATGGTGGTCACCAGCCTGGCCTGCATCCTCCTCTCCATTTTTGAAATCGTCTACCTGATTGGCAAGCGATGCCGTGAATGTTGTGTATCCATTCACAACTCTCGCCACACCACGAAACGCACATTGATCGAGTCAAACGGTATAAAGATTCCTGGAAAAAGCTCCCCTGAGACGCCCGCTCCTTCGTACAGCCTTGTCACATCCTGAGATTCTGAGATTAAAGGAAAAGACTAAATGAATGCGGTGGGAAAGGAAACTAATCTCCCCCCACTCTACAGGCACTTCCTTCAAAGACTTGTCAGCAGACATTTTGTGCTCAGAGACTGAACTACGATTGAGTTTGTTCTTTACTTTTTTTGTGTCCACTATCAAAGACTTTTAAACATTTGGACCCCGAGGCATATGTGTAATTTATCTGGAATGTGCTCACTGTTGTGTTTGGGTCAGTGTATTTTTTTTTACAGATGAAGTTCAGCCTTGCAAAGAAAAATCTAGTTTGTGTGATTCAGATTTAGCCTACAGTCCAATTACATGAGTCACTCCATGGTTTTGGCGATGGTTTTACAAACACATGTGGTTTTCTGTGTAAAGTTTTCCCTCTGCTCAAAGCTCAACCCAGAACTGCTTACTCCAAGCTGTACTGTGTCTCTTTCCCCTTCACTCACATGATCCTATCTGGTTCTTTGTGAGTAACTTACATAATTTATCATTAGGTTTGACAGACTGATCTGACTTGTTTTTAAACTGCTTCCTATACAAAGGCAAACGAGTGCAATAATGTTGAAATGCAGGGTTGTACACACATATATCAGGATGTGTGGCTGCAAAGATGTTAATAATATTGTTGTTAATAATATTTTCCAATAAAATAATTGTGATGTTTGGATGTGAGTTTTCTTTACATTTTCATGTTTTCAAAATGTCTTTATTCCTCTATATAATCAAGGAAGGCAATTTAGAGAGGTCCATATGCAGTAGTTCTATAATAGTTACACAATAAATCTTAACATATGAAATATACTGATTTAATCTAGCCACAGGACTTATCGATTCTTCACAAGTTGTGTGGTTTGACAAAGCCCTCAGACTTTCTTTCTTCTTACACTTTTTACATTTCATAAAGCCCTCCCTCCCCATTGGCGAACAAAATTGCTCTGTTGCTAGGCGCAGCGCCCTCATTGTTTAGGTAGATTGGTACATTGGAGAAGGGCGGAGGAGGAGTCTCCCACCCCTCGGTTTGAATCACCCATTCTGACGGGTGTTGATCCACCCAGTGCAGGAATTTGTCGGTCTACACAACCTCTGACTGGATGTTTCCACTTGTGAAACTTCATGTGTGATAGAAGAGATATAGTGAGAGTAAAATACAATTTCTTACTCTCTTTTGAACCCAGTTAGATCATTTGCTCTGCTAGTGTTTTTCCCTCTGAAACTGCCTCCTCAATACCACAGAGGAGAATAAATATAGTTGGTGCTGCTCAGAGCAATAAAGAATGACATTTTAAAGAGTCAAACATTAAAGTGTCTTTGCATAAACATTCAGAAAGATAATCTGCAGACTACTGTTAACAGATTTAATGGGAAACATCAATGTATTTTACAGTAGACAGTAGTTCCGATCAACCTTTTTAACAAGAGAGGTCTGTGGATTATCATGGTTCCTAGGGCAATGTTTCTTATAAACACTTTTAACACCTCTACTTTAAAAGGTCGGTAGCACAAATGTCACAAATTGATATCTAAATCTACAAGAAGAAAGTGGCAAAATAAGTTTTTATGTGGGTGATTTGAGAACTTTCTAGGGGGTCAGATATGCTACAATTAGTCTGAGTTAATCATCAATTCCATATTATCTAAACAGGATCTAAACTCTCAAGTGTTAGATCAAGTGTCACAAGGTCTGAAAATATAAGCAAACAGAATTGAAGTTCTCTTTGTCCCTTTTCTGCTTGCCCAGCCTTACTGGGTAGTTAAGTGAAACGGGCAATCCCTCCCATCAAAGGACCCTCCCAGCTATTTTCGGGTTTAATTTCTCTCCCCAGGCCTTCCCTCTGTTCTGGTAGATTTCCTTCCTTTCACAGCCACAGCAGTGAAAAGTGTTTACCCCGTGTTGTGTTGCTGTTGTCTTGTCGAGACTTGCTGCTGGCAGAGGTTGGGGTGCATTCCTCCAGGTGTGTCCCAGAAGTAGACTGCCTGGACCAGTTATTCATCTGGAGCTAAGAAGCAACTTTTCTTTACCCTCCCCCTCACACCTCTAGTTCAATTGTTGTAGTCTGAACTGCTAAAAAGCTTTTACAGGAGTAAATACAGATGTTTTTGGAAGCTTAACGCCACAGCTGGACTTTCCTCGAAAGCACAATCACAGTTGATGTTCGGAGAGTTTTGCCCGTTGGCTGCGAGTCTTTAAGATTAAGTGTTTGCTTTAGACAAGCCCACCTTATAACATTCTTTTCATGGTGTAACCTTTCATACAATTCAGCTTTCTATATTGTAGAAATGGTTTGAACACAGACACAATATGAGAAACAAACTTGTTCTAAACATGAATACAACAAAAATTTGCACTGATAATTGAATTACTTATGGATTTTTAGACAGACAAAATTCTGTCTACATGTCAGTTTCACATCTCATTTTTTCCAGACATTTTAACTTTGGTGAAGGAAAAAACATAATTTAGTTAGATTATGAGGTTAGTTATGTTTGCAAACTAAGCATGTGGCATTGCAACTGCTCTTATATCTCAACCTTGTGAATTACAGTTTTTTAGCCCACTTCCTCTAATAGTTGTGAGCCATTGTCATTGTGAGCCTGAAAGAAGAAAAGTCCATTGAAACATAGCATGCGATTGAACAGAGCAATGCAAATTCAGTCAATGACTTGACTTGAGACTGGTGAAACATGAGCAAGTATATTATCCTTTTATATAAAGTCAACACAGGATTTAATAGCTCTGAATAGTCTGCAAGAAGTAGCATGCTCTGGCATAACTATGGCATGTTTGATTTTCCTTTACAGCTTCTGAGGACTGCAAACACTGCTTATGATGGGATGGTTTTCCTAAAGAAAAGAGAGACACAAAAGCTGTTTAGAAGGGATATCTTATCTGTTAAGTCTGAAAAAAAACAAGGTTTGGTCGTGAAAAGCATGCAGATGGTGAAGTGGAGACAATAGATCTGAAGATGAGCCTATAAGCATGAATTGTGACAGTGTTATCTGAGAAGAGCTCTGTCTCTACAAGAATAAAGGAAACACAACATGCTCTTTTGGCACTGTTGTTAAAGTCATGGAAGCAGATGGAATAAATTAACAGAGCAGTAAATGAATGAGGAAAGAGAATGAGGAACAAGGAACAGGGACATTTAAGAATTAATAACAAATTCCCCCTGTATAATGATGATGTGTGTTTTCTGCTATGACCTCCGGCCTACCAGCAACCCCACATTCTTCAATAGCCTACTCCTACGTAAAATCCCTGTAAGAATGTTGTCTCGTCATGCTTTTAGAAGCTTGCAACAAGTCAAAGACATGCACAACAAAACAATACCAAAAAAATGCATTCACCTTAAGGTGTGTCTGTCTGCCTCTTACGCACACTTTATGTATAGTAGCTACTCAAAAACACGTTCAAACAGGGAGACGCTTCCTGGAAAAAAGGGAAGGTAAAGAACAATGGACCTACATCTGATATTTGAAATCATTTTAATGAGCACAAAACAACCCTAAGAAGAGGATGCTTTTCCTCATGTAACGGTGTCTGGAAGGATTTGGTGGTCACTATGTTGCCAATCCTTAACGTGAACCATGTGAGCTCTAATTGGTTTTATCTGGTGCCAAATGTGTTGGTGCATGTGTCCTGAAACCCTTACGAAGTCTGAAAATGGTTTCCTTGAACTGTGATACCTGTTACGCCAAAAATATTTGATTAGCCACCTAACAGTGGGGTGTGAGACCGAGTCAAGGAGGCAGACAGAGAGAGAGAGACAGAGAGAGAGAGAGAGAGAGAGAGGGAGAGAGAGGAGAGAGGGAGGGAGGGAGGGAGGGAGGAAGAGGAACATCTGGGGTGGCTCCAGTCTCTTTTCTGTAACCACACCCACAGGCGCATTTCTCAACTCTGGGCTCCGCTACCTGTCGACTGGAAACGAATCTGTGCGTTATAGGACCAAAACGACATTAACGCGGCAAGAAACCCCGCAGAAACACATATTATCAGGTGGCTTTCAACATATAATGGACTAATACTTTTATCGGTAAGTGGAAAACTCGCCGAAATGAACTTTTGCTGTGTCTTTAAAAAAAAGTTTAGCTCCGCGTTCCAGTCAATTGGACAGGAGTTGATTCGTTGTTTTTTATACGGCCGTCTCTGTAACGAGAGACGGCCGTATACAAAAAAAAAACCACACAACCTGTATTGTCCCGGGTAATTGTGTAACTCATACTATCGGAAAAGAGCTAAATCCATCACTAAAATATGTTTAAATAACGCATAGAGTCGGTGCGTAAAAGGCCGTTTTTAAAGACTCATTCAGATGTATTTTTTTACATGTAGACAGCAGAAGACTAATAGCATTTACTATGTTAATTACATACGTATTTGCATTAAAGTCATGTAGTTAAGCCATTGTGTTTTGTGAATTACATGAAACTCTGGATGTGTCATCGTTGTTCCAACTTGTTTCCTTCATGAACGGATTTGGCTCGAGGCCTACCCATAAATGTGTTGTTGTCAGCTAGCTGCTGATAAATGAGGCCTTTGGGAGTTGCTTTAACTTTAATTTAGATTTATAAGATAAAGAAGAGTTTATAAAAGAACAGAATTTAAGGTTATGTATTATGCAAGGCACCTGGAGTTCACAGAGTGAAAGCAGAGTACTCAGCAGAGAATGCAAACATGTTCACCCATTCTTCATTCTGCCATGTCCAGGTTTGAAGATAAACTCCAACCAGCAACAGAGGATTTCCAGAGAAAGGGTTTTTGACTGCCAGCCGAGGACATGGACTGGAAGACCTTCCAAGCCCTCCTCAGTGGGGTGAACAAATACTCTACGGCGTTCGGGCGGGTATGGCTGTCTGTGGTGTTCGTGTTCAGGGTCATGGTGTACGTGGTGGCGGCGGAGCGAGTGTGGGGCGACGAGCAGAAGGACTTTGACTGCAACACCAAGCAGCCCGGCTGTGCCAACGTCTGCTACGACCACTTCTTCCCCATCTCCCACATCCGCCTGTGGGCCCTGCAGCTCATCTTCATCTCCTGCCCATCTTTTATGGTGGTGATGCACGTGGCGTACCGTGATGACCGTGAGCGCAAATACAAGATGAAGCACCCAGACAGCGACAAGCTGTATACCAACACGGGCAAGAAGCACGGCGGCCTGTGGTGGACCTATCTGGTCAGCCTCTTCGTCAAGACGGGCATCGAGGTTGCGTTCCTCTACATCCTCCACCACATCTACGACAGCTTCTACCTGCCGAGACTAGTTAAGTGCAGCGGGGCGCCTTGCCCTAACTTGGTGGATTGCTACATCGGCCATCCCACTGAGAAGAAGGTCTTCACCTACTTCATGGTTGGAGCTTCTGGCCTCTGCATCGTCCTGAACATCTGCGAGATCATCTATCTCATCTCCAAACGCATTGCGCGAATCGGCAACAAGTTTAAGAGGCGCCATCGCAGCACGGCCGTGCGACAAGAAGACTACAACAGCAAGGAGCCCTTTAACAACATCCATTTGGCCGTGCCGAGTCGGGACCGGAAGGACAGGCCTCCGTCCTTTAAGAGTGCATTCAAGTCCTCACACGGGGTATCCAGCCTCATAATGGAAGAGAAGATACGGGCCTCCGCTCCTAATCTGTCCTCCTCATGAGATGACAGGAGGCTGAAATTAAGAGATCAGCAGAACCCAGTGTCAAACTAAAAGACAAACAAACTCAGAACTATGAGACAAACGTCAGTGTGTGTCTGACCCTGGAAGTCATGAGTCATCAGTGCAGGATCCATCCCTTGGGCCCCTGTGTCCACATCTAAGACTCTTTTTGAGCTCATGAACTTTGGTTTCCAAGTCAACATCCACAATGTACAAGTCAGCTCGAGCCAAATTGATTTGTTAATAATATGTTGGTTTTCTTCTTTTTGAACACAATACAGGTCACTGTGCCTTTTCAACTTCACCCCCTCACCCATATTCAAACATTCCTGTGAGGTTTCTGTCTTTCATGTGATTCGAGTTTTGACGCAGGAGGGGAAGGCAATGAAACGCTCACACAAGGAGGCAGGACACACCTGGCAAAGGTATTCCCCCTGCCTGCCTGCCAGTGTATACAGTGGTGTGTCAGGGCACTAATTGTTAGACGCACATTTCTTGATCTCTTTTATTTAACTGAACATTAGCTTTACCTTTATCATGTGTTGTCCTGTTGACATTAAAGATGGTTAAAAAACCACATTGGGAGTGGGGATACTCCAAAGTCATAGAGTTATGGCTGAGTTTTACTTGAAGGTGTGTGAGCTGGCCAAAACAAAAATGTTTTTACTGCACTTTTGCTTCAGATAAGCAACAGTGTGCATGTAATATTAGTGTATTTCTTTATCTTAAGCCTCAGCAGACTCAGGTTTATGCTGCACGGTCATACGCTGTTCTGCCTGTGTTTTGATGTGCTTGTACACAAACACCCCTCATCCAAGACCACTGTTGATTTAAATAAGGCCAAAGGAATGCTGCTGTTTATCCCTGTGCTGTTAGAGCTGCAGCACTGAGGAAAAGGTCGTACAAACGGACGTCTCATTGAACTATTAACGCATTTTTGTGAGTTCCTAATCGTCCCCTATGGACCTTAGCTGGACATGGATATTATGCACTTGTTAAAAATGTAATTTTTACAAAGCTAAATATATTAAATGTATTGAATGTGTGTTTTGTATTTGGTGTTTTCAATGAGGGATGCTTCTTGATACGCAGGTAATATTTATTTTTGGAACAGGTTTCTATTAACACATAGGACATCCTCCCACAAACTGTTTGATCATCCTTATAATTTAAAGAGCTGTTATTTTCCATTGTTGTTGACTCATGATTAGTTTCTTACACAATCCATTAAAAGGCATGCAATATCATTTGTCCACATGATCTAGCTGTGAGTCATCACATGTGATTTTACTGTGTCTTATACTCATGAGGCAAGTTTCTAAAGCACCATGAGGAGGCCAGCAGTAAGAATCTCAGTCTGCCTGTCAGACTTGTAAGTCAGGTTTTTAACAAGGTGGAGTAAAGAAAAAAAGTTTGTTTATTCTGGATCATTTTCACAACAAAATGCAAAATCACTATGAGTTAGGAAATATTAACATTGTGCCTAATATGGTCAGTTATGGCTCCAAAAATGTTTACAATTGAGCTAACTGTAAAAGGCTTAATTTACTTTTCAAGCTTCTTGAGTTACAATCTTTCTTTACAGTTACGCTATTTATATCACTTTGCTCTCCACATAAGATCAATGACACATTTCATGTATGAAATACAATTTATTTTTAAATGTACAATCTACATTTATTTACATGTTGAATTTGAAAGGAAAATAAATGCACAACACATCAACATTTGTTCCACAAGCCAGTACAATGCCCACGTTCATTAGAACAGATTTTTCATTGACTCTATATGGAGAATTCATTTGAAGACAGACATAACGGAGTATGGTAGAAAACAAACAGTGTTTTCATCCATACCCAAGACATAATTCCACTGGTTCATTAACAGAAACTAAGTGTGTGTCTACTTTGATTTGGCCAGAAAGGAATTTAAACACACTATTAAAGAAGCAGGTGATGGCATGGCTTTTATAAGATGGATTTGTGATTAGACTGACTGTACATAAGGCACTGTTCCAGCTATGCCATCATGAAGTTTAATAAGGTAATCCAAAAATAAAGTAACTGGTACTTGGCGAGGATGAATGAAACTCAGGAGAGAATAAGCAGGTCTGCACATAGAGAGGATGAAGGCTCCAGGTTTACAGTCTGTGTTTTCACTTTAGTCTACAGCTTGCAGTTGGCCTGCGCTACTTTGGAGCTGGTCTTCCTGTTGAGGGTTCGGCAGATATAAGCTCCGGCATCCATCAGCTTTGAGAGGTCCACTCCCTGAGGTGAGGACAGCAAGTCAAATGTTAAACTTGAAGTAGCCCACATCCCACAAAATATGGCTAAAACGTAAGCTACAAATTTAGCTTAATTATAATATGTGGAAAAAATGCAAAAAAAACAGCAGCTTAACAAGTTCTACTATATAGGAAATAAAAGAAAAGGGAGGTTAAAGATAAACATAAAGGAGGACTTCTCACTGTTTGAATCCCAAGTCCGTGAAGCATGTAGACTACATCTTCAGTAGCAACATTCCCAGAAGCCCCCTGGGCATAGGGACAGCCCCCCAGCCCTGCTACTGACGAGTCCACCACACTGATTCCCATCTGCAAAATAATGGTGAAATAGATTCATTAAAGACAATCTTCAGTTTATGAATTAATGTTTGCTCTTTACCTTTAATATTTATTCTAATGATAAAAAGGAAAATATATTTTCCAAAAATAGTAAGTAACCAGAGTGAGGTCTGACCTGTAAGGCTACGAGGATGTTGGCCAGGGCCTGGCCGTAGGTATCGTGGCAGTGCACTGCCAAGGCATTAACTGGCACCTCTTTGCTCACCGCCTCCAGCATTTCAATCATGCTTCCAGGAGTCCCCACTCCTATTGTGTCACCAAGAGAGATCTCATAGCAGCCCATGGAGTACAGACGCTTAGCCACCTGCGAGATAGAGTCCAAGTTAGACCTGGTTGACCTCGTAGTGTGTCAGTTTACGTCAAATAAACACGTATAAAATAAACTCACGTGTGCAACTTTTTCTGGTGCCACCTTGCCTTCATAGGGGCATCCAAGAACACATGACACATAGCTGAGGTGACAGGAAACAGAGAGGAAGGAAATGAAAACCCAATCATTCCAGTAATGTATACATGTGTTAGGAGCGAGACAGTAAACCTACCCTCTAACTGGCACACCGGCTTCTTTCGCTGCTTTCATAATCACTTCAAAGCGCTGTAAACTCTCTTCCACTGAGCAGTTTATGTTCTTCTTACTGAAGAGCTCTGATGCAGCACCAAATATGGCTACCTCTGAAGCTCCAGCCTTCAACTGAGGTAAGTAAGAGCAAGTACAATTTGTAGTGAAACATTGAGACTACAGTGTAAGAAGCTGGATTTATCAGTGTAGCTATTGGGATGTGATGTGTGAAACTTACAGCAGCCTGGAAACCCTTGAGGTTGGGGGTGAGGACGGGGTAAGACACCCCCGGTTTCCTACCAATCCCCTTCATCACCTCCACCTGGTCTGCCATCTGGACAAGGGAGACAGAAACCAATTAGTCCTGGAGAACAAGCGACCACCATTCCTTCATACTGAGGTTCTGTACCGCCCTACGTTGGGTGTGTCAGCACTTTCCATATGAATGGCTGTGGGAGAACAAACTCACCTGTGGAACCCATTTTGGAGACACAAAGCTGGTGGCCTCAATGACTGGCAGCCCTGTCGCTGACAGCATGTCAATCAAATGAATTTTAGTTTCTGTTGGCACGATAGTCTGAGGGGGGAAGCAGCAGAACAACAAAACGAGGAATATTTGTGAAAAGACTGACAAAAATGCATGCCTGGAATTATTTCACCTGTTACGCAATATTTAAACACCTGCTCTATTTCATCATACTCTCTGTTGTAAAGTTACTAAGTACATTTACTCAAGTACTTTACTTAAGTAAAAATATTGGGGTACTTTTACTTTTCTTGAGTATTTCAATGTTCTTGCTACTTTGTAAATCTACCCCACTACTATTGAGAGATTAATAGTATACTTTTATATTATTATTATTATTATTATTATTATTAGCTACCCTGCAGTTTACCAAGTAATTTCAGTTAGCTGCCCCTTTACAAGCTTTGATAAACAAAACAAAAACAAATAGTTATAATCAAAACATATAATATATATATATACACATACACACTTGTACCTATACTTGAGTCACATTTTGATTGCAGGACTTTTACTTGTAACAGAGTTTCTACACCCTGGTACTTCTTCTTTTACTTAAGCACAGGCTGTATTCCTCCCACCTCTGACTATGCTGATGGTGACACGCATAGATATGTTAACATCTGACATGTAATAGCTTCTGTTTAATCAAATTATTCAAGTCATTAATTGTTCTTACATAACTGTACCTTTTCATTCTGAAGCCCATCTCTGGGTCCCACCTCCACTATTTTCACCTTCTCTGGAAGAGCTTGACCTGCTCTTACGCCAGCCTGCACAAACACACGCAGACACATATTTAATACAGATGTAATTTAAAGCAGTGTTAGGTAAGAAAACTTGACACACAGCTGCCTAGGTTACCAGCTATCAGTGACTGTATGTATGTATGTTAGCTTAGCTTGACCGTGGAGGAAGCTAACAGTTCGCCGACAAGCACTACATTCCTGACAGCCATTTAAACATGAACAATATAACCTGCTGGGAGATAAAAGCATAATAAAACGTACTGCAGTGACCTTTGCTGCTGAGCTATACGCCACATACTTCTGACCCATTGCTGAACTTAGAATTCTTCTGTTTACAAGCCTCATCACGGCCGCCATGTTGGTCGGTTAGTGCTAGATCCAAGCCCCCAGGAAGTGCGCCGGACTCTGATGAAAATATTCGTTGTGTCCAAAAGGCGGTACTACAATTTCCGTATCAGTCCGTGACGTCACTGGGCCCAGAAATACTTTTTCCCATTCACTAACATTGGGAAAGAGACGTCTGTAAATCAGCGGATACTTTTTTTTAAACTAAATAAACTACCCAGTATGAAATATGTTATAGCCCTTATTATAATCATTAAGTCCTTAAAGTTGTAAAATGCACTAAAAGCCGAATCGAGATTTATTTTCTGTCTCCATTCATTCTACTGAGCCGAGAGTGGCAGCTCCGGGGGCGGGGCTTAAGGGGCGCATGCTCTGTGAGCGCACATACGGGTTCTTCTCATGGATGTATAGGTTCTTCTGCTCTGACAGCCAGGCATGATGGGTAATCTGTGACGTTTCGCTCTCTCAAAAGTTGGGCCATTTTGTCCTCATGCGCCAATGAGCAGCTCTCATCGGAAAGAACAAGGCCCTGATGTCACTTCTTCCTCGGGATAGAGGAACGGAAAGCACCGCAAGGTCGCCATCTATGGGCCGGGTCTTTGTATTGAAAACTCATTTCAGAATATTTGTAATGTCCTTTATCATTTATTATGTTAATTGTAATTCGACTCCATTACCATATACGTTTAAGACGTTTACAAAAGCTACATCATATTCATACACATATGTTTTAATACTTCACTCATGTTGATCTCATTTTTCTTGTAATCATTCACTCACTATTTGACAAATAATCTAAATGAATACTGTTTTCTTTACATATAATACTTTCGAAGTGTTCTAAAATCATCAGAGTGTGCAATGAAATATTGTCCATTTCGAATGCATATAATCTGCCTTTATTTTATTGTATTTGCATTATTTGTTCTTGTCCTTACTATAGTTTTCCTTTTATAAGATTTGTTTAAACTCTCCATTTAGACAACAAGATGTGAAATGACACAGAACACAGTTGTATCAAAATATCTTTAATGTGTCAAAAAGTAAAAAGAAACAGACAAATACATTATAATTGGTTTTATACTATAGTGCATATCATATTCAAAAATGATCATAGAAAAACTTTGTGACATTGGGAGGGAAAGAAAAGTCTGCTGTTGACTTTCCCTACAGTGAGCAGGAAAACAGCAGTAGAGTCATAACATGTCACTTTGTTTTGTTCAAACGCCAGCATTTATCAAAGCAGAAAGACTCGAAAAGTAACAAAAGTGTTTTTCCATGCATATGAAAAAACTATTGAAAGAGTTATTATTTAACAATAACAGAGGCAAAGGAAACACTGACAATGCATGCTTTGGATACTGCATGAAGTTTAACAAAAAGCATTCCATTTGTCATTAAGGTCAACTTCTCATTTAAAGTAACCATTAACCGGTTGCATTTAACTAATAGACGTATATATATATATATATATATAACTAATATATCATAAATGTATATCTTTACATTAGTGGATCACATATGTTATTCATAAATTATCCTGAATGGCTTCAACACACACACACACACACACACACACACACACACACACACACACACACACACACACACACACACACACACACACACACACACACACACACACACACACACACAATATTTCACTCCAGCTCCTCGTCGCTGTCGTCCACTTGTTGGATGATGAGGTCGGCCCCCGAGTCTTCAGCCAGGTCATCGTCCTCAGTTACCATCCAGCTCCTCTTGCTGTCCCCCTCCTCCTCCCCGTCTACTCCCAACAATAGTGCCGGCTCCTCATTGGCGCCATCTAGACTGTCCATGGGGATGTCATCACAATCCACTTCCTGGATGCATGCGGTGCACATGCGGTATCGTCGTGAGCCCTCACACACCACATGCCCAGTGTCCTCCGTCACCTGACACTTACACTTCCTGCAAACCAGCTTCCTGGCTTGATGGATCTGTGGAGGAACAAAAAAAGTCAGAAATGCTGTTGGTGTTTCTATGGGGACGAGTAGGTGGTTGCAAATAATCTTTTGTTTTCAAACACTGAAGCACAGCCTGAAGTGTATGCTCACAATTTCTATGTTTCTAAAGCTGTTACATCAATACTGAATGACTTTCGCCTCCGGATTGTTAATAAACCTACCGTCTCGAAATGGCTCCGAAGATGCTCCAGGCGAGTGAAACGTTTATTGCAGGCCTGACAGGGGTACGGCCTCTCTCCAGTGTGGCAGCGCAGGTGTCGCTTCAGGTCTGCCTTCCTTTTCACCGTGTGTGTGCAGAAGGGACATTTGAAGCGCATAATGGGGTTTGAGTCTGCAAAGAGGAAGAGAAAGTGTTCAGAGCTCTTGCTTTTCGGTTGATGCAGCAACCTGCAACAGAATCACAAAACCCAATATCCCCTGGGATAAATACAATTATTCTGATTCTTATGATTGTGATAAAAGTTAGAATTAAGAAGGTCACTGACGCTGATAAATGTTGAATAATTTACAGAGATTACTTTTTTGGGAGTTCATGCTAAAAATATTTGTAAAATGGTCAACGATGACAAGAAATTGCATGACATCTGACTGTGTCTTGCTGTTTCGAAATTCAGTTATATTCGTTTTTTTATATAGAATATATTTTTTTTCCCTGGCATTTCTTATTTATTATATTAGTGAGAAGGAGACAGTACAATTGATCAAATGCAACAGTAAACCCTTGGCGGGATTTTTACCCATAGGCAGCTGTAGCAAACTAGCGTCAGCTATAAAGAGAACAATACTTGCATCAAATAGCTGTTTTCAGCTTGTCCATATATTATATTTCTGTCCGTATTTAACTTTCAATACATTAATAAATAATGCCCTGAATATGAAGAATTGGCTTATTTTTAGGGTTACAATCCATGCCAGTCTGACCATATTATTCATTTTCCCACTTCTCTATAGAAATGATTGTCTTTTCCTTTCGTACAGCCCGACTCACCTCTGTTGAAGTGTCCAATTACACCCACAATAGGTGGCAGAGTAGCATAAAGCTCCTCTGCCTTCTCAGCCTTTTGTGTCCTGGCCTCCTGCAGGTCTAGGTCCTCAGGTTGGTTGGAGCGATTGCTGTTGGACCCTTTCCTCTTAGTCCCCCCTTTACCTCTCCGGCGCTCTGATCCAGGCAGGGTGTACAGAGGATCCTGAGGGTCATGCAGGTCCTCTGACTCTGCATGGAGATCATCAGCAGGGCTGCTCGGGTTAGTCTTCATCACTGAGGCCGATGACTCCTGGTCTAAGTCTTTCCCTATAAAGCTAGATTGTGATCTGGAGTTGTCCCGGGTCCAGAGCGCAGGGGGTGGGCTGACAGAGCTGGGGCCTTGCTGCTGCTGCTGCTCTAATGTCTCATCCCCTGCTACACTGTTGAAACTGCAGGTCTCAGACACGCTGAGGCAGCGCTCACTGTCTTCATCCTTCACACTGATCTCCAAGGAGGATTTGATGAAGTTCTTGCAGAAGTTTATGACATTGTTCATCTGTAAGTAGCTTGCTGCTGACATCACCTCGATCACGTTGTGGCTTGAGAGGTCTAGCTGGCCGGAGTAGATGAAATCCAGGATGACGGTGAAGGTCTCGGGGCTGAAGACGTCGAAAGTGGCATCAACGGAGTCAGCCAGCCCGTCCGGCCCCTGGGACAGCAGCATGCGGAAGTATCCACTGCTGGCAAACAGGACGTTGCGGTGGGCCCTGAAGAGCTGACCCTCCACCAGCAGGTTGCAGTCACAGAAGAGCTCCTGGCGGCGCTGCTGGTTCAGCTGCTTCAGCAGGCTGCTCTGGTGAGCCACTGTGATGTCTGCCGCGTTGAACCACCTCTGAGGCTGCCTGAAGGAGACAACATGAGAGCACTCTGGGTGTGCATGCGGAAAACACTGTTCTGCAATAAATGAACAGATCATAAAGGCCTTGTGGAAACTAATAATGACAGTGACACTTCCATCTACATGATCCTGGATGAACAAGCTAAGAGCCTATACATAGCCTACATGACAAATGTTTTGATTTTTACATATTACAGTGGAAAACATGCACTTCTTGAGTGTGTTCGTGGGACATCTGACCTGGCCATCTGATTTTGATAAATAGTTGTGCTACCAGGCTAAATATTAATAGCAGGTCACACAACAAACACACCAGTTTGACTACAGTGGTGTAGTGGGGATTTTTTTTACTGGGTGGACGCAATGTCGATGCTCATGAACTGAACTGTCCACAATCCCAAACAATGCCACAAGTGCGCAGTGCACTCACAAAACGGGCAGACAGCAGGTCTACAGAAACTACCGGTATGCTTAGTCCTACTTTAGTACTGTACTGCAGAAAACACGTGCTGTGCTCAACACACACAGACTCAAAACCATGGACACACCGGCACATAAGTTAGGCTACATAAACAATTTATAGGCCTAAGTTGCATAGGCCTACATGCGACTCAGACTATTCCAAAAATAAATAATCATGCTTAAAAAAAATGGGGTCTCCAAATAAGTGGAGAGACGGTGATCCCCCGCGTCCAACGACCACTACACCACTGCCAGTGACCTCCCCGTTGATGTAGCTGTCAGTTCTCCCCTGTCTTTGTTTCTGCACTGGACTATCTCCAGCTCCGCAAAACATCCGCCTACCTGACTTCATTCGGCGCTGTGATTGGATGCACGATATTTCAATCAAACTCTCCTTCTAATAGGCTACACCCGACTCTGGTCAGAGCATCGGGTGGTAAAACCCTGTAATCACCCCTATGGGGAGGTAAAGCGGGCATGAAAAATATCTGACGTTACAAACACAACAGACTTAAGGGAAGAGAAAATATTAGAGCATTGTAACTGGGCATGACATGCAAAGGTAGTACGAAAATGCCGCAACCTCATTTGCAGAATAGTTTTATTTTTTATAGTAACCTATTTAGCCTTCCTCGTGTAGACTCTAAATTACACGCATGCATTTTTAATTATGCGATGCTTTCTGACAGGCTCCCCAGCGCCCGATAACCACGGTGCAACGCCCGCTTGCAACATTCTATACTGCTCCTCATGTCACACGAAACCAAGTCCAGTATGTAAACAGAGATATTCTCCCTTAATTCAGGTAGTCGACCTATAAAACGAAATGAGAGTGCTGCAGTCCTGCGAGAGAAAAGCGGGCAGCGGCGCACCAGAGCAGCCCAGTCTGTCCTGGAGCGACGCCCACTTCAGGCTCCAGCCAGCACACAATGGAAAAATAAGAAACAAACCTCCAGTAACTGAGCATACTGCGAACTGATAAACACATATATTCACATAGGGAATCATATTTGGGATAAGATGCGCTAATACACCCGTTTTCATCCTCGACGCCACCCCCACTTTCCCCGGAGGTCCGGAGCGCAGCGAGCAGCGGGGAGGATTTGCCTGCTGCCCAAACCCAGCGACTCTCTCCCAGGCGTGATGTGTCGGTAGGACCCGCTTACGCCCCACGCCGTTCAACCCTCACAAGATCCATCGATACTCACTGGTGACTTGATTCACCCGGCGCCCGATAGAGTCTACTCGCCCCCAAGTCTTCCACCATTTCCGTTTTTAATTTCTTTTGCATTTTTCCGGTGCTCTTTTCTCCCTTCCAGGGTCCACAGTCAGGCACTTCCTGCTCAGCCCTAAAGACCGAAACCCGGTTAGAGCGACTGGAGCTCTGCTGACGTGGGTGTTTATTAACTGGGTGCCCGAGGGTTCAAGGAGCCATTTAAAGCCCTAGTGCCCGGTTTTAATGTGGTTTATGGGCAGAATATTGATATTGAACAGTGCCTTATAACATTGTGTAATATTTCTATACGGATTTATAGTCTGTTTGCCCATCTACTGACCTATCATATAGCTTTTATTTACTGTATACAGTCTGCTTTGGCATCACTATGATAATGTTCCTGTGTGGCTCAACAGTGACTTTTCATCATATTTACAGACAAGTGTGTGTTTTACTGGAATCTTGTTTTGGTTTTGTTTTTTCCACAAACATTTTGTATTTTATCTCATATCGTATTCAGCACTGAAACCAGCAATCTCCCTTAATAACATCTAATTTCACAATAATTTGAAACAGTTAACTTTTATAATGGAGTGGAAATGAAGACATCCTTAATATGACAATTAATTTATTCTTTCAGTGTTATGGCTCACAGATCAATACATACAGTATTATTGGAGAAAACACCCATTGTTAATCTGAGAAATCAAACAGTTGTTCATTAGTTAGAGAATACATAGTATAAAGCAGCTGAATCACATGTTGTTTATATGAAATGCAACAAAGAGGAAGTTGATTGTTTGCTTTGGCCCGATAATTTAGGAGAGGAGTCAATAACAGCAAAAGTCTGAGTTGCATCAAGAGGCGGTGCCATCGGGAAATCCTGTGGGGTTCTTGGACTGCCAGCGCCACAGATCTTCACCTACACAGGTAAGAATAATAAAACATATGATGGGGAAATATTTCACACAAAATAACTTTAAAATACACAAAGATATTTTAAGTGTAGCTGTGCTTACACATTCGTTCCAGGTCAAATTTGGCCTTCCAGCCCAGCTCCTTGTCAGCGAGACGAGGGTCAGCGTAGCAGGATGCGATGTCTCCTTCCCTACGTGCTGCAATTTTGTATTTGATCTATGGAGAGGATGCATTTTAATTAACAGAACAGGAGGGTGGTTTAGCCTTAAAAGGTAAGACCCTCTTAAATCATCTAACTTCACAATCAAAGTCAGCTTTGCCATCCTTTAACATGTAGTTTGGTTACTACGCCAAGTGAGTTTAATTACTCTCAGAAGACACAATACAATCACTGAAGACAATTCGCCTTGGAAAGATGATGTCCCTCACCTCTTTCCCTGATGTCTTCTCCATAGCCTTCACCATCTGGAGCACAGAGTAGCCCGTCCCCGTTCCCAGGTTGTAAACCTTCGGACACAAACATATACGCATGCCAGCACTCCCATAAATACCTTCATGCTATATGCAAGTGAATACACAATAGACAAGAAAATGTGTTTTGGAATGCTTTGCTTTTTTTCTCAAATGTACCTTGCAGCCACAGCCATCCTTCAGCTTCTTCAAAGCTGCTATGTGTCCTTTTGCCAGATCTACGACATGGATATAGTCTCGTACACCTAGAAAGAAAAAGGCAAACCTTGAGCCCTCTGCCCAATTTGCAAACCACAATTAAATCTTTTAAATGCAGTTATTTTCCATTACCTGTTCCGTCAAGTGTGTCATAATCATTCCCATACACACTGAGGCACTCTCGTCTCCCAACAGCAACCTATGAGGGGGATAAATTAAGCAATGCAAAACACATTGAGTATGCTTCCATGCTCTGATCTTGCTGTGTATTTGGCAGAGGGCTCATGTACCTGGGCAACATATGGCAGCAGGTTGTTAGGGATACCCTGAGGGTTCTCCCCGATCAGGCCAGAGGAATGAGCTCCAATTGGGTTGAAATAACGCAACAGCATTGCATTCCAGTCCTGCTGACACACAGGCGATAATGAGACACCATGTGCACTGTATATGTGTGCATGGTTTCTGTCTTCGGATAAGTACCTTCTCAGCTTTACAGTGGTCCTTGATCATCTCCTCAATGAAGTACTTGGATTGGCCGTAGGGGTTGGTGCAGCCGCCCACAGGGTGCTGCTCGTCGATGGGGAGGCGCTGAGGGTCTCCGTACACCGTGGCTGAGCTGCTGAAGACCAGATTGTGCACCTTGTGAGCCTGCATCACCTGGGACACGTGCAGATGCAAAACAAACACGGCACACACATAGTCAGCCACTTAAGTACACACACATACGGAGTAAGTTTGGCAGACACAGTGAGCTCCACACATTAAAAGTTCTGAAGGGTGCAGGGTTAGAATTAGCCGACTCAGTGTCAGATGAACACACGCTGTCATGCACTCTGCAAACAAAGAGGAAGTGCAAATAGAGATCAGTTCAGAAATGAAGAGGGAAGTGCAGGCTTAATGGAGGACAGACGTGTCAGATAAAAAGTTCAAACTGACCTCCAGCAGGTTCATAGAGGCGGTGAGGTTGACTCTGTAGTAGCGTAGCGGCTGCTCCACAGACTCGCCAACAGCCTTCAGACCAGCAAAGTGCATCACCGCACTGAAGGAATGCTGCAACACACATCCATGTTTAGTCAAGTATGACCAATGTGGAAGGACATATTTGTAACTGATATGCCCAAGCATTATGTCACACTACCTATTTTCAGTGCTGTCTGAGCATTTATGGTGGCCAGCAGGGACATTGTTTGGTAAAAAAAATAGAAAAGCAGACTAAAATTTTAATTGTACAATGTACACTAAAGACAAGGTTTTCAAGCATTACCTCAATGACATGTTATGAGCTGATCTAAGAGCTGATTGATGAGCGGAAAATACCTGTACATTTAGTTGAATTTAGGTTTAAACTCACATTTTCTGTTGTCGATTAATCAGCCATTGAGGTGAACAATTTATGAATTTGTCCAAAAACATTGTCCAAGAAAAAGTGAAACATGCCTATTATTTTCCCAGATCCAAAGCTGCCATATTAAACAGAATTATATTATTATTATATATATATATATATATGTTTGTAATTTCTTGCCTGAAAAAATGACTAAAACATCAAACTCGTTTCGTCTCTCAACTGAGAAAGCATTTAAATAAGTAGCTGTTCAAGTTTGGATAAAATGAATAAATAACCTTTAATATCTTACTGACCTTTTTGAAGAGTTTCTCCAAGCCAGGTTGGTCCAGAAGATCTAGTTCATGAAACTCAATGCTGGTGTCCAGGAACTTCTCTATCCTCCGTATGCTTTCTGGCACATCCCCCTCTCCTCCATAGACAACAGGTTGCACACACAAAGAGAGACACACACATACAAACACTTAGCTTTATATTATGACTTTGAATTGCGAACTGTAGGCTGAGGCACTAACTTTTTATCAGCCTGTGTTTTCATTAAGGGAGTTTACCTCTGACAGCGTTACTGAAGTTATCCACCACGACTGGATGGTAACCCGCTTCAATGAGCTCCACCACACAGTGACTACCGATGTAGCCTCCTCCACCTGTGACCAGCACCTTCTCTGCCATTCTCTCACCTGTCAAATACAACACACAATCACAAACATAAACTCAACCATTTAAAACCCTGTTGTGATTATTCTTGTTAAAGCACAATGATGTGAAGGCAATCTCTCGACCTGCTCTGGAAGAACAGGATATTCTTTAGCCTGAGTAAGTTTGAAGAAATACTTTAGAGCCACTGTCCCAGGGCAAGCCCAAACCTGTCAAGCCACATACAACAATTATAGTGCCTTAACCTTGTAACGTCAGTCGCTACTCAGTGTTGGAAGGTATTCTAATCATTTGAGAAAGTGACCTTAAATAAACTATAATGTACTACTACGTTGCTTCGTAAAAGTTGTATGAATGAATATCAATAAAAACCTTAGCAAATATATAAAGTACAGGCCCCTAATGAGTGCTGAGTCTGCTTTAACATAAACCCATGGACATTTAACTTCTTTCCATCTAGGCTTAATCAATAACCTAATACTATGTCTCCTCACTAGTAACATACACTCTAGGCCAAATCCTAAACACACTTTTTCCTCAGTACACTTTTGTATTCTGTGTTTTGCATTTTTAGACCGTACATTATAGCTAAATGTATTATTTTCTGTATAAGATTAGGCACAATCCGAATCAACACGTATTTTTTTATAAACGTGATGTCGTCGTCGACCCACTGCATCTATGCCAGTTCTACTAAGGATTAACAACTTAAATGTAGTCTAACCCATTGAGCAAAGGCATTACTTTGTGACAAACTGTCAGAATGAGAGCACATCCCACAGAGAACTGAAGATGTCAGCGAAAATACTTACTTAATTTCCCGATAAGAGACTAAATAGTACTTCCCGGCAGAGTCTCCTAATAAAACAGACCCGGAGAAGCAGGAAAAGTGTGTGTAGTGACAGAAATAAGTTGTATCTGTCATTTAATTGAGTGAAGTGTTTCCCCCTGCATATCTTTACTTCCTGTAAAATGTGGAAACAGCGATAAATTCACGAGTAGAGCGCAACTTCCTATATATATGTCCTTTCAAAATAAAAGCAGACGCATTCCTACATTGGCACCGCAGAACATTTAATTCACTTAAGCTTTAACTGTGATATAAAGTTATATATATGTGTTATAATACCATGTAGGTAAACAAACGCAACATAAACCACAGCATGTTATAATATCGGCAAAACTATAGTTTCAGCTTTTATTTTGAAGTATTAAACGGATTCACCATACTGCTCATCGTGCGCTTCATGGTATTTAATCACTTTGACGTTGTACGTAAGAGGCTCACATGGCGTGACGTCAGAACCACCCTAATAAAGCTACGCCCTTGCCCATACAAACAGAGAGGTGATAGTGCTGTGTGCAGACCAATATACACAGGATGGGAAGGGGAAAGTGCCACGTAACTTAACAAATTCAGTCCAGCACATTTGCAAATAGTAAAGGCTTTAGGCAGCAATGCAAGTGCAGTTTAGTAAAAAGAACTACAGATACTTGAATGTATCCACACAAAAACATGTTTAAAACATACA